TCCCGTAATATCCTTTTAGTAACAACTATTTAGGTGGTATTTTAGTGCTTTTAAATGAAAAATTAAAACAGAATTTCACAATTTTAAAAAAAGAAGGGTTAAAAAATAAATAAATATTCAGATTCAAACTTTTTATATATATTGATTTTTATATCTTTTATAATTAAGGGTAATTTTATTTAAGGATAAAACGTAAATTTTAATATCTTTAACTGGTGTTTACCATTTTGTTTGCTATAGACTATTTTTAGTAACATCATTCTTTTATTATTAATTTAATATCTTTAACTATTGTTTAACGCTTTAAATTACTTACACAACTAATTATTAATTTATCACTCAGCTATAAAATAATACTCTTTGTATTTTTCATTACCCTTCAATGATAAAATTAACAAAGCACAACTACATTACTAGACATTCAGTAAATACACTACTAGATAACATTACTTTCTCTATTTCTATTATTTTAAGTCCTCATAAATCTCTATCATCTGATATTGAATACACTTTAGAAGTCTATAAAAAAACAGGGAGAGGAAGGATTATCACTACTCCTAAAGAATTTGTTATAAAACATAATTTTATAAAAAACTTACTAAATGTACTTATGCCTTCACATCTTCTTGTAGAAGATTACGATGTGATGGATACATTTGGTTATTCATCATATTTAAAAGATATAAAAGAAATGAAATATAACTTTATTTATATTACAACATCTACAGTGCCAGAATGTAAATTACTTAACTTTTATAGATATGTTATTAAGTGTAGAGATAAAGATTATTTCTACTACATTTATTTATTATATTTAAAATACACTACAAATCTAGTAATTTTATGTAGAAATGTTAAGAGGATGAATCTGTTCTGTGATATTTTAAATATTAAATGTATTATTGATACAGAATATAAAGATGAATATTATAATAGTGTATGTGTAGTAACAGAGGAATACAAAGAGATAGAAGGATTTGTTATTTATGTAGAATTAGATTGTACAGGTATAGAAATGAAAGTATTAGAAAATTACAGAATATTGTACAGAATTAAAGATTTAGTAAAAAGTCTTACTAAAGATGTAGTAAATGGAAGGAAAAAGATAAATTCTGATAGATTTAAAAATATATTAAAAAAATGATTAATATTATTGTAAAGATGTTTTATATACATTTTATAGAAATATGTATAAAAATAATAAAAATATGGTATTAGTTTTATTTGTTAATTTATTTTAATTTTTAAGAATTGTGGTGTTATACTATTTGTTAATTTATTTATTTTACTTTTTATTAGAATTGTGGTACAATATTTACATATTCTTACCTATTAAATTTTACTTTTTTATATTTAATTTATTAAAATTGCGGTACAATAATTACCATTTTCTTACCTATTAAACTTTACTTTCTTTTATATTAAATTTATTAAAATTGTGGTATAATAATTACCATTTTCTTACCTATTAAATTTTATTTTTTCTGTATGTAAAACCAAATGATATATTTAACACATTAAATTTTATGCAATGCATAAATATAAATAATAAACTTCTTTATTACGAATACAATCCAGTAGGAAGGCTGTTCTGCTTGGTATAAAATACTTTCTCTCTTGCCTTTACAAAATCTTCTTTACATACATGTTTCCTTCTCTCTCTTAATGCTATCATACCTGCCTCTGTACAAATAGCCTTTATATCGGCACCATTAAGATCCTCTTTACTAGTCACTAATTCATCTAAATTAACATTTTTATCTAAAGTCATTTTACTCGTGTGAATACTAAATATCTTCTTTTTTGTAGCTGCATCAGGCATCCCAAATTCTATTTTTCTGTCAATTCTGCCTGGTCGGATAAGTGCAGGATCTAACACTTCAATTTTATTAGTAGCCATAATCACTTTAATATCATCTCTTGTATCAAATCCATCTAACTGATTTAACAATTCTAACATAGTCCTTTGAATCTCACGCTGTGCTCCAGAAGATGAATCATATCTTTTTCTACCTATCGCATCTATCTCATCAATAAAAATAATACTAGGAGCATGCATCTCTGCAACCTTAAAAAGTTCTCTGACTAGCTTGGGGCCATCCCCAAGATATTTTTGTATCAATTCAGATCCTACAATTCGTAAAAATGTAGCAGATGTTTGATTTGCCACAGCTTTAGCTAAAAGCGTCTTACCAGTCCCTGGTAATCCGTACAATATAACACCTTTAGGAGGTTTTATCCCCATCTCTAAATATATTTCTGGATTAGTAAGTGGAAATTCAACACTTTCTTTGATTTCTTGTATTTGTGCCTCTAGTCCTCCAATATCTGCATATGTCTCAGTGGGTGCCTTTTCTAGTTTCATAACACTAACCATAGGATCTGTTTCTGCTTCTAAAACACCTACAACACTATTATCTTTGTAATTTAATAAGACAGTACAACCAGGTTCTAATAAATCTTTATCTACAAATGAATAGATAGACACATAATACTCTGGATTTAACCCTGTACTTACAATGGCATGATTATCATCTACAAATTCTTCAAGTGTACCAATACTTAGAGGATTTCCTCTAATTTGATCTACAAGCATTTTTTGTGATCCAAATTCGGAAGGTTTAACTTCTGCTAAATTTAACAAGTTATCTTCTAATTGAAGATAAGACAATTGCTTCTGTAATTTAAGGTCTCTTAATTTACATTTCATAAGAGGATATACAATAGGAGGTTTAGATGCATTTTTGTTTTCTTTAACTCTTCTTCTTCTTTTAATGTTTATAGTGGTCGAGTCATTTATATTGTTAGGTGTAGAATTATTTTGTCCCATTTAGGGGTAGAAAATTATGCATAAATACTAGTAAAAATAAATAATAAGTAAACATAAGTAGCAAATATAAATAATCAGTAAAAATAAATACTAGTGAAAATAAATACTAGTAAAAATAAATAAGTAGCAAACATAAATTAGAGCAAACGTAAAAAATAGCAAACATAAATAATTAGTAAAAATAAATACTAGTAAAAATAAATAAGTAGCAAATATAAATAATCAGTAAAAATAAATAACAAGTAAAAATAAATACTAGTAAAAATAAATAAATAAGTAGTAAACACAATTAATCTAACTGGTGAAACTAATAAATAAGAAACCACGCTGAACTACAATTACTGAGCATTAATAAAAAACAACTAAAATTATGCACTTTTTTACAGTAAGTCATTTCTTTAAAAATCTATTAAGATTTAAATTTTTTCCTATTATTCCATACTTAACATTATCTTTTTCTAAATAAAATATTAATCCTCTTTTTATGTGTGTCTTTACACTATTATCTCTATACACTACTATAATAGAATTTTTCCTTTCTTCTGCTATAATACAAGGTACATTATGCACATAAATTAATGCACCAGTTAATTCCATTTTATAAATTATATTTAATAAAAACTTCGGATCACACTTAAAAGAACTAAAATATTCATTAAATAACTTATTAGCATCAAGAAGTAAATCATATGTTAGTCCTTTAGTTCTTTTAATTTTAATATTTAATTTTTCACTTTTTTCTCTTGTTCTTTTACTAAGCGAAAAACTTCCATTAATTTCTGTGTTACAAATTGACTGGTAATAATTTATTATATTTGACATTTTTAGGGTTAAAGAATAAATTATTTATTTGAAGGTTAGTATTTTCTTTTATATTTGACTTATTGCTTCAGTGACACCACCGAACAAATTTTTTAGGGATAAAAAGAAGAATTTATAATTATGCATAAATTAATGGATAAGAAAAATAAAGACTTAATAAAAAAGAATACAGAATTATTATTAGAAATTACTAAAATTAATGAACAACATGTAGATTATGTAAAAGAGAATGTTAAAGATAAATTTACTAATGAAAAAAATTATAATAAAATTTTAAAAGATTTGGATACAAATATTAAAGAAATAGGAATTTTATTGGAGAATACAAAAAACCTTAAAGAAAAATTTTTATTGTGGAGGCAGAAAAATAAAGCGAAGTTGCAAGAAAAAGATGTAAATATAATAGATAAAAAAATCAAGAAGAAAAAAGTGACAAATCAAATTAAAAAGAAATAAATAATATTTCAATATAAAACATAATTTTTCTATTTTAAAATTTATAAACTTTTTAATAAATTATCAAGTACATTTATGTTCAATATACCAGATTTATACATTGTAAAAGATACAATGTTTTTATCATCATAAAAAACTGTAACTAAAGCATCACTACTTTCTTCTTCTAATTTTATAGGATCTTTTACAAAATTATCATTAAATATTGCAAAAGTGGTGGATTGTGGTAAATTAATATTTGTAGATATAATACTATTATTCTGTAAATCTGGTATTTCTATATTTTTAAGTAATTGTTGTAAACCATAAAAAAACATATCTCTTATATTTCCATCATCATTGTATATTTCAATATGTATATTCATTCCTAGACTTATTGTATCTCTAATAAGTTTTAAATAGTATTCAGGAATATCATAATTAGATTCAATAACAGGTTCTAGTAAAAAATTAACACTTAATAAAATATGTGAATAACCCATTTTAATATCAAGTGATCCATCTAAATGTGGATTATCAAGTAAAGTAATTTGTATTTCTCTTTTTTCTAAATTATTTCTTAAATCTGGTCTTATTCCTTCTGTAACACATTCTTTTACAAATGATAGTTCTTTTATGCTGTAATTCATGGGATAAAATTATTTATAAATAAAAAATTAATTTGTTTGTTAAAAGTTTGTTAATAAAAGTATTTTTTTATTAATTTTCTAGTGAATCATCATCCACTTTATCTGTCTTGTCAATACACACTTCCTCTTTAATAACTTCAATACTTGAAGACGTGTCACTATCACTACTTACATCCTCTGCATCTTTTTCTACTTTTTCAAATACTTCTTCAGTTCTGTTTTTTATAACTTGATTAGGTCTACTTGTCTCTTTCTGTAGTAACTTAGGTAGGACATTTATTATTACAAGTACAATTATACTTACTATGGCTACAATAGTTATACTATATAGATTACTAAAACACTTTTTTATGCATTGTATGAAACCTTCCAACATGTTTAAGGGTATAATGTTTTTAAATAAACTTAAAATAAATGAAATATAAATAAACATAAAATATGCCTAGTAAAATATGTAATTATTATTTTTAAGAAAATAAAGGGCTGAAATAAATTTAATAAGATCTATTTCATTTATGCATAATAAATTTAAATAAGAAAATATTTACCTTAAAAATAATATAATTCTGAACTATTATTTTACATGTCTATTTTGACATGTAGAATGTCTTTACTACGAATGTAGAAATTATTACAAAATGTAATATAATGCTATGCATAAATTATGAATCTGATATATTCAATGTTTACAGAACTTAAAGTAAATAATCCCATGGTTGATATAAACAACAAAAATCTTTTAATTAACATTTATGCTAAATAAATCATAAATTAATTGTTTTAAAAATAGATAATACTTAAAATTTCACATTATAATTTTTAGTGTGTTGTGTGTAATAATTACAAATTTATGCTTGCAGTTTTACAAACTACATTAAAAAATTAGAAATATTTTTTTTCTAATTTTGCATAATTACAGTGTAATACCCATGGATTTTTACTACAAAACTGTTCAAAATTTTATAAATACTTTCAGCAATAATTTGTTTAATGAATACAACAAAAACCTGATACTAAAAGATAAATGCGAAAAATATAAATCACTGTATAATAATAATCTTTTAAAGAAAGCACTTATTAAAATTGACAAAAAAATACTAAATTTTATAAATTTATTGTATAAAAAAAGTATTGAAAGAAAATATAATACTATAACACATGCATCTAATGATATTAATAAGTATTTTACTAAGTCTAATAAACAGAATACAAATATTATAAATTATAAATCTACATTTTTTAATAAAATAAAAAATACGTATTACAGATTTAAAAACTGGTTCTTGAGTGAAGATAAATATTTTGTTAAAAATATATTAATAAAAAATATTAATAATCCATTATGTTACACAGAAGAAGGACTATCAGATTATAAATTAATAACTGATATAACAAATATAGTAAAGATAAATAAAGTAGAGAATCTTAATAAATCAAATTGGACATTTGAAATAACCACGTATAATCCCATTAATAATATTGTATCAAATAAACAGTGCATTATTAAAAATTTAAAAGATAATGATGTATTAAAAATAGATTCTATTACATGTGAGAATTTATAAAAACCTTATTTATAAAAATAAGATAACTAATTAAATATTTTATTCTTTAACTACTTCAGTTTTCAATCCTTTAAAATTACCTACTAAAACATGAGAACATTTTATAACATTAAGTTCTGCATTATCTTTATCTGGAATTCTTTCTACCTTAATTCTCACTCTTCGTGGTACTTTTCTTAGTCCCTTACTAAAAATAAATTTATTTAGATCTTTCTGTATTGTAATCTTTTCATCTGTTTTAAGCATCTTCTTAAGATGCTTTCTAAACTTTTTTACAGCTATGCTTGCTTTTTTCGTCCAGTTGCATCCTTTTGTAATCTTACCAAGATTAACTGTAAGTTCCATTGTCTTATTATTTTCTAATGCAGTTTTCATTTAAGGGGTAAAAAATAAAATTTTTATCTAAGACATATATTTATTTATTTCTTTAAGAATAGCTGAATATTCATCCTTAAGATGTTCTATATCTTCATCTAAATTATCTGTATTTAAAATCTTTTCCATTTTGTAAAATATTCTATATATGCATTCATTTACTTCTTTTCTTTTGTAGCTGTTGTGCATAACTTTAGCTAACAGTTTTGTAATTTCTTGATCATGGTTCATATTAAGGATTAAATATAATTTTAGGAATAAAATAAAGTTGGGTGTTATATAATATGTATAGTAGATTAGATTATTTATTTAAACTATTGAGAACACTTAAAGTTTAGTATATTAAATTTGAATTATAAAGAAAGACCTAGCCATAGTCTAAAATATTACATTAATACATGATAATAGAAAAAAGAGTATGACCACGTTATAGTTATTAGAAAATTATTTAATGACAGTATTAGTTGTAAAAAGTAAAAAATTATTTTTGTACATTTAATAGTGACATTTCACTCTACTGTAAATTATACTAGAATTTTTAATAATATTATATTTTAAACTTTAGAAATCTAATTCATTATGTTAATAGTTTATTTTGTATCTTTTTAAAAAATAAAATTATATTAAATCAGCCAATTCGGTTCTAACAAATGCTAACATCATTGCGAAAAGTAGAGTGGTGGTTACAACACAATAAATTGAATTATTAATATATTCACAATATAATAAAAGAATCATAATAAATTGAATTTTTAATATACTTATAATATAATAAAAAAATAAAGACTTTTTGTCTTTTACCATTTTTTTAAAAAAAATCGTTTAATTCTATTGTAATTTTAAATTCAAAATGAGTATCATTATTATAAAGTTTTTTCAGTTAATCATTATTCCGCCAAATTATAAAAAAATAGAAAAAAAATCCCTTAAATTTTTTTTAAAGCCAAAAATTTAGCCTAAAGGCTCATAAAAATTGAAAAAAAAGCTATTTTTAAATTTACCAACATTATTATTAGTATAGCGTAATTGCATAATATTTTTAGTAGGTCCGTATAATTTGCTGTCTCAAAGGGGTTTATATATGTTGCTTCTATTAAGTTTAACTTTCAATAATTCTGGCTTTTTATTAAAATCTAGAATTTGTATTTGGTATTAATTGCCACATGCAAATATTTGGGGGTACATTAGAATTTATGCAATTTTGCACCAATTTGGCTTAATTTTTTTAATAGCAATACCACACAAATTCATTTTTGTTTTCTCTTTTTTTATCCTATAAAAAGATTTTAAATATCGCATTTAGCTTGTTTTTTTTTTAATATATCATAATAAAGCCGATTTTCTGCCTTTGGATTAAATTTTCTAGCTCGTCAAAATTCTTTTTGGGGGTAGTTTCTAAAAACTTTTTAATATGTTGACAAAATTGATGCAGAATCAAATTTTTTTACAAATAATTTCATTTGTGACCCTTTTTATCTTTAAGTTGCAGTAAGAAAATTTAATTATAAAGAGAATAGGCATCCTATATTTTTCAGTTATTAATGTAAAACAATTTTTTTCATTTAATACATGCTTAGATAATGTACAGTACGCTGCATAATCTTATGACTGCCTACTTTTTAAAATGCTAAGCTAATTGCATTAATGTGTCAGTTTATATACATCAACTTAATCATTTTTTTATTTAAATTGAATTTTAACTACTCAATTATTCATTTACTAGATATAAAGCATTGTTTTTATTAAATTTAAGTTTTTATAAAAAAAGTGTTGCATAATCTTACGACAGTTTACTTTTTATAAAATTTAAAAAATAATTGAGCCATCATTGTTTCCTTTCATATGTTTGATTCAATTATTTATCGAATTATAAGCTTAAAACAAAATTTTGCACTAATATAATACTATTTCAAAAATTTTGTGTTTTTATTTATCATACTATTATATGTTTTACCTTTTGAATAAGCCCGTCTACTAAGCTCTCCCTCAAGATTTTGTGTAGAAAGGATAGGCGAATATGTTGTCCAAAATTTTGTTTTAACACTTTTGCAATATAGCCAATTTTTTGTTGAAGCCGAAACACGTGGCCTTGCGTTGTCCTGCTGAAAAACTTTTTTTAATAATTTTTTTCAATTTATATTAGAAGTAGGTAGTAATGAAGTATATATTGATATTAAAAACCATTATTACTTCCTAAAATATAAGCTAATTTTGATTTTTAAAATAATTAAAACAACTTCAAACTCTTATCGAAGTTCCTATTATTACTCTGCATAATTACAGACTTCCTTTGTTTTAATACTATACAATAATAATTATAACTGGCGTACAAACATTTCATCCGAAAAAATGGTAAAATTTTTTTTCTATTGTGTGAGAGAACGCTTCGCTCGAAAAAAAACATAGAGACTAAATTCCATATAAACAAGACTTTATAGTAAAAATTTTACAATACTAATAAATAAATAACATTTTATAAAATTAAACAGAGGATTTATATTGTAGGTTTGAAATGACAGGTTAGGGAGAACGATGATGATAGGTTAGGAACGATACGATCGATAATTTATGTGTCGTAGGTTATGTATCGTAGGTTATGTATCGTAGGTTATGTGTCGTAGGTTATGTATAATAGGTTATGTATAATAGGTTAGTTCTTAACTTTGTAAAGATTTTTGCTGTTTTTGAGATTTGCTTTTATGTCATAAAGTCCGCATTTTTACATACATAAATACAATTATACTTTTGAATTCGTTTTTTACTGTAACAGGAACCTCTGTTATCGATAAGCTTGTCTTTGCCTCTTATACTTTACGAAATTTAAAATCAAAAGAAATGAAAATAAACTTTTTAACAAAAAATTATGCTTTAAATTATTATTATTTTTAAAAATGAAATGTCTGAGTACCGTTATAGCCAGATACATTATCAAGATTGATATTTTTATCTCTAAAACTATTAATTCTTTCATCTGGTCCTAAAATTTTGATATTTACCTGAAAATAAAATCAGTTTTTTTTTTTCATATTTAATATTTAAAGCAGATTTTTGGGGGTATTTTTTAATTTTGATTCTCTATCTTTTGCAAATACTTTTTAAATCAAATTTATGCACATTTATATCAAAAATATACTTAAACTTTTTCGCTGTTATGTTTTTATCGCAAGCAATTTTAAAAAATTTTTAGCGCTTTTTATAATAGACTTTTAAAAAAAACCAGGAGATTTCTTCTTACCATAATTTTAAAACTCTTTTATATTAAACAAAAACAGCACATGATTTTCTTACCTCTTTGCTAATGTTTAAAATTGGCCTTTTTTAAAATAATAATGGCCTTTTCAAAATTATCAAAAGCTAGTTTATACTCACTAAGAACCCTAAAAATAATTTTCATTAAAACATTTTCCCGCTAAAAAGTAAATCAAAAGTTTAAATGCTGTAAGATTATTTAACTTGTTAGAAAAATTTCAACTAAATAAAAACAATACATTAACATATATTAAAATAAGAAGATCATAAGCAGACAGTAAATTAAATGGCCTGTTTTAGACAAGATAGCTAAGACTACTGAAAATATTACTGTTTCTTTTTTCGAATTTATTTTAAAGCTTGTCTAACGCTGATAAGACCTTAAAACAAAATTTATAGGTTAAGATTTATAAAGTTTTTTTGTAATAAAAAAATCAAAAATTAAATAAACGTTTATACTATAGAGTAAGACAGTCAAATTATAATTAAAAAACCAATAAAATGCGTCATGTATTCACTCCACAACGAAAAAATAGATACGTCACATAAAATCGGTATAATTTTACACATAAAACATTTTTTAATTGTAATGGGCTTTTACCAAATTAATTAATTAAAACTAAATTATAATATAAGGAGTAAATGTTATATTTAATTTCAAAATAAAGTAAAAGAGTTAAGAAAATGACAAAGTAAATTACAAGGTTGTATTTACTCCATTTATATAGAAATTAATTAGGTTCTAACAAATTTAAAAATACTTTGTTAAGAAGTTAATCACAATTGTATAAGAATAATCTAATTTAGAAAATTCATTATGTAATCTAACAAATATATTGTTCCTATCTTCATTAGATATCTTTTCAAATAAATTGTGCATCCAAAAAATAATTTTATCAAAAATTTCTATTTCTTTATCTTCAACCTTCGCTTTTGCTAGAAGGATTTTTAGATCAATAATATATCCTTTACAAATATTAATAATTTTATTCTCACTATCAGATGTACTATAGGTTGATAATATTTCATAT